GAGTAGGTAAAGACTAGTGCACAGGGCTTTGCAGGCTGAGTGAAGAGTTGGGTTTCCTTCTAAATGGGGTGGGAGTGACTGCAGGATTTTAACCAGGTGGGGACATGATCTGATGTACACTTCAAGGCATGCCCCAGTGAGCATCTGTGGCCACTCAGCTGCAGGAGGCTGAGAAAGCATGTCAGCATAGTGCTACGTCTCGTTTTCTGTCATCGAGTGGCCCTGATGCTGCCTGGCAGTCACACATGTCCTAGCCCATTACCTCTGCCTCTCTCCTGGACAACTGCTCAATATCATCTTCTTTCTCTGGAAACTTCTACACCTTCTCACTCCTCACCACTGGCCTTGCTTCTGATTTCAGAAAAAATGGACACAGTCACAAGGGAACTTTCACAACCTTGCATGTCAACGTGCACATTGTAATTGCATCCAAATACACCACCTCCCTCCGGGGCCAGGCATGAGCTCCGCCATTCCCATGCGAGGCCAACTGCTTCCCGCCCTCTCCCCCGTCTCCAGCACCTTCTACAGCAGCTCTCCCTGCATCATCCATATTTTTACTTCTACCTCTTATCAGCATAGAAACCTGCTGTGATTCTTTCCCCAGCTTTTTTTTTTTTTAAAAGAGGTCGTTTGGTGCCATTTTTCTGTCCAGTTTTTGCCCTATTTTTCCGTTACTGTTTATAGCAAAGTTTTTTGAAAGAGCTGTCTGCATTCACTGTCATCGGTGCCTCTTCTGCTCTTCCCAGGTTCTCTCATGAACCTGCTCCAGTGAGAATTTCAGGGCCACCACTCTCCTGAAGTTGCTTCTCAATGTCCCAGTTATTTCATGTTGTCAAGTCCTGTGGTCAATTCTCATTCCTCACCTTAGACCAGGGGTTCTCAAACTTTTTAAACAGGGGGCAAGTTCACTGTCCCTCAGACTGTTGGAGGGCCAGACTATAGTTAAAAAAAAAAAAAAAAATGAACAAATTCCTATGCACACTGCACATATCTTATTTTGAAGTAAAAAAACAAATGGGCAAAAACACCCGCATGTGGCCCGCAAGCCATAGTTTGAGGACGCCTGTCTTAGACCATCCAAGACTATCCTCACCATCTGCCCTTCCTTCCCAAATATTAATACGTCACTGCCTCTAGAGACCCACCTCCTGGTTGTCTCCAGCCGCAAAGTTGGCAAGCCCCAGGGCCCGGTCCTCTGACCACTTCTGTGTCACGCTCACCAGCTTTTATGTCATCTATATGCCAGTGACTCTGAAGTTTACATCTCAAGCTTAGGTATCTCTCCTGAGTTGGAGGCTTGTCTTTCTCTATGTCTCTTTTCAAATGTCTAATAGATATCTCAAGCTCAGCATGTTCTCAATGGAACCCGTGATGTCCCCAAACCTACTCTACTCGCAGTCTTACCCACCTCAGTGGATGTCAACATTATCCTTCCATTTACCCTGGAGTCTTCCCCGACCCTCTTTCTCTCACACCCACTTTCAGTCTATCAGGAAGGTATGTGGGCTCTTACTTGCAATTACATCCAGAGCCTGGTCACCTTCGTGGCTACCCTGACCTGAGTCATCATGATCTCTCTCCTGTGTTACTGCAGTAGCCACCTACCTGGTCCCCGTTCCACCCTTGTACCCCGCTAGTCTATTTTCTACACAGCAGCCAGGTGATCCCTTTAAATGAGATCAAGGCATTCCTTTGCTCACTCCCTCCAGTGGCTCTCTATCCGGCGCGTGATGTCCCTGCAGCCCTGCACATCCCACTGCTCTCCCCATCCATGCTCACTGCCACACCGGCCCAAAGCCGCATCCCAGACACAGCGGGCACGCTCAGGACTCGGTCTTGGCACTTGTTTTCTCTGTCTGACATTCTCTTCCCCTATACAGCAACCTGTCTCACGCCTTCATCTCCTTCAGACTCTTCATATCACCCTATTTTTAAAATTTTTATTATTATTATTTTTAGAGACAGAGTCTCACTCTGTTGCCCAGGCTGGAGTGCAGTGGCATGCTTTTAGCCCACTACAGCCTCAACTCCTGGGCTCAAGCAATCCTCCCACCTCAGCCTCAAGAGTAGCTGGAACTACAGGTGCTTGTCACCATGCCCAGCTAATTTTTTTAAAAAAATTTATTATTAGGCTGGGTGTGGTGGCTCAAGCCTGTAATCCTAGTACTCTGGGAGGCCGAGGTGGGAGGATCATTTGAGGTCAGGAGTTCGAGACCAGCCTGGCCAGAGTGAGACCCCGTCTCTACTAAAAATAGAAAGAAATTAGCTAGACAACTAAAAATATATAGAAAAATTAGCCGGGCATGGTGGTGCATGGCTGTAGTCCCAGCTATTTGGGAGGCTAAGCCAGAAAGATTGCTTAAGCCCAGGAGTTTGAGGTTGCTGTGAGCTAGGCTGACACCATGGCACTCTAGCCTGGGCAACAGAGTGAGACTATCTCCAAAAAAAAAATTTTTTTTTGTTAGAGACAGGGTCTCACTTGTGTTGCCCAGGCTGGTCTGGAACTCCTGGGCTCAAGCCTCAGCCTCCCAAAGTGCTGGGATTACAGGCATGAACCACTGCACCCAAACCTATGTCACACTATTTAAAATCACAACCTCAGGCCATTTTGTTATTAATAAAAAATAAAAAATCACAACCAATGTACCCAACTCTGCACCCACTTTCCGATCCTTCATTTTAACCAAAGCCTGAAACACCATTATTTTACTTTGTTTACTGTCTGTCTCTTCCTACAACATTTGAATTCCTTGAAAGCAGGGAATTTTGTTGTTTCCCAACAGTTCTTGGCACTGTTGAATGGATGAATACACAAATGAACTGGATACAAAAGCAAGGCAATGAAGTAGTCAGGATGACACCAAGAGTTTTAGCTTGACAAACTGGATGGATGGTAAGAGGTAGACACTTGAAAGAGGACTAGGTTTCAGGGCTTGAGAGGTAACAGAGCTCTGTTCTGGAGATATTCATTTTGAGGTGCCCTTTAGACATCGAAATTAACACATTATTAGTAGGCAGTTGTATATGGAAGTCTGAAATTGTGGAGACTCTCTCAGGGTTACAGTGAAATGCACGCAGGTGGCCAGCAGCTTGTAAGTGGTTAACTCATGGAGCCAGATGGGGTCATATGGCCAGACAGCAGAGAGATGGGGCTGAGGTCCAGGGCCTGGATATGCCAACATTTAGAGATCAAGCAGAGGAGAGAAAGTGTCAAAAAGGACTGAAAAGGAGCCAACAGTGAGGCTGAGGAGAAGCCAGGAGAAGTGCTGCAGGAAGGTGGGAGGTGACCGTAGTCGTGGCCGACTTGGTTTTAGTGGAGAGGACAGACTGATGAAGTCTGAGAGAATGGAAGTGAAGACATCAGCTACAGTCCTCAAAGAAGCTGTGCTGTGAAGGGGAGCAGACAGATGGGATGGTCACACCCTAGACTGCTGCCACCAATCACTGCTTTGTTCGAAAGCATCCCATTCACCCTCTGACCACTGTTCTCTCCGACCCACTTTCCGAGTACCTGCACGTCAACAAATCTTCAGCCCCATCAGGCCCTGAAAGCCACTGAGTATGGGTCACCCACATTCTCACTTCCTTTCTTAACCTGGCTAGATTCCATGGACCACCACCAAGTCCACTCCTTTCCTGGCCCCTTTTCCCTTCACACCCTGCCCACTCAACATTCAGCAAACCAAAACTCTGACCAAACCAACTCTTAGCTTATTTTATCCCTGTATCTGTAGAGCTAAATGCAGTTGAAGAAAACATGCAACTATGCTGAGCAGTCGTTTAAAATTTATGAACATAAATCTCAAGTAGGTCTGTAGGAATGCCCTGTAATTGACAAGGTCCCTGGTGAGTTGATGTTCTTACTTTCCAGGATGATTACTTCCCATCTATACTTGCTACGAGCCTCCAGCGCTCCCTGCCCCCACTTCCTCACTGTCAATAATTTTGCTTTTTATAGTTCACTGAGAAACAGAAATTAAGAGACCATCTTATCCTCCCGCCACAAGATCTACTAACCTATGTACATCTATGCCCACATACTCCGCCTTGTTGTGAAGGCCAAGGTTCCCATTTGTGTACCATCAATCTCCCCCTCCTATGGGTGTAATTATAACACACACACACACACACAGAATTGCAGTATTTTCCACTCTAAAAAGAAATATCTCCCCAAACCTCAAATTCCCTCCAGGGACCAATCCATTTCCCTACCCCACTTCTCTGAAATTCTTCAAATGGCTCCTTCCCTAACTTCATTCCTGTTTCTGATCAAATAGAACCTCTTTAGCCACCTGTATGATACAGTCCCCCTACACCCAATTAAATCATTTCCCCCACTTTCCTGTTTACTTTCTCATTAGCACTTTCACCACTTCAAATTCTGTGCTTATGTGGTTGTCTCCTCCACTAAAATGTAACTAAACGCCCTGAAAGCTGAGTCTTTATCTGTTCAACCTACACCATATACACATGCAATTCATTGGTTTTAAATTACAGAAAAACCGTATCTAAGAAGGTGGCCTTCTCTTTGTAAAATCAAGGTAAAATACCATAGCATACTTTGATGCTGATGGGAATAATCCCGAAGAAGAGAATTTGTTGATGCAGGAGCGAGGGGCTAGTGCAAAAGGCAGAACATGTAGATGTAAATAGAGGCATCCTGGTAGAGTTGAAAAATGGAAACAAATAAAATAGGATCTGGGATAAAATCTCCACTAGCTCTCTGTATGTAATACTGTCCTTGGAATCCTTGCCCACAGAGGACTGCTGTGACTGTGTTCTGAGAGGACACCCCACCTCACCCTTTGCATGAGATTGCCCAAAGTTCTGCGGCATACTGAGTTTCATCAGACATCAGGCTTCGCGATAAAAGTCGTTGTTCTATAGCTAAAACATTAAAACCCCAGGGAGATTTAAAAAATAATAGCCTGCACATTTTTTTTTCAAGAACTGTAAACTAAGAATGACATTCTCATTAGTGCTTTTTTCTCTTTCAGGAACTATGTGAAGAACAACATTTGTTTTATGAGTCATCACCAAGAAGAATTAGTGCCCACACAGCTTCAAAAAGGAAAAGCCCAAGAGCAGCTCCTGGAGTGCAACAAGCTGTGTGCTGGGGAACAACCCAGGCAGCTCTCTCCAGAGACCTAACAGCCTCAGCACCTTATGGGCATGGATACAGTGTCACAACACTTAGTAGGGTGTCTTTGGACCAATGCATAGTTGCTACTCCTGTGTTTTCTCATTGGTGTCATGGAGTTAGTTTTTAAAGGACACCCTGAAATTATATAAACAAAAACTCTTTAACCTTTTCTTCCCCAAAAGGAATCTCAAAAGGTAGATGAGCTATGCAAGGTCTTAAGTGATCTCTTTTGGATTCTGAGCAAGTTATTGGGTTAAAAAAAAAAAGATACTGGCTGGTTCAATACTTTCTACCTTTTTTCTTTTCACAGAGCAGCCTTTGAAAAGACTTAAGTCCTAGTGGTGAGATCAACCTTTGCCTTGAGCTAGTATGTATGGGGGCCAGTTGCTGCTTTATTATTCAGACATAAGTTGTCTGGACACAGGCTTATAGTTTGTGCCTACTAAGACACTACTTGGACTGGGTCTTGTGTAAAAAAGAACCAGGACACACAGTGTGGACAATTTAATTGCACAGATTTTCTACCTAGATTAGAAGCAGATACTGTCTAGGATTTCAGTGATCATTCCTAGTTATAGATCAACAAACAAAGATTATACAGCTTATTTTATGAATTATGATCTAGAATTTAATGCAAAATATCCTTTTATGAGTTTCATATTAATATTATAAAATATTTTTAAAAACCGACTTTGCAATAGTTGAGAAAAATAAGCATTTTTCCAGTTTTTAAATGAATATCAAAGACAATTTAAAAATCCTGGGACCATATTTATTTAGAAATAGTTGTTAGTAAAACATTAGAAAAGAAGTCAGTCAGGCCATTAGGTTATTTATCCAAATCTCTAAGCAATCAGGTTTAAGTTGTTAAGTCAAGCCTATCAAAGTCCTCTCCTTGTAAGGTTTTCATGACAACTTATAGTAATTCATAATTTCCTGCAATTTTTCACACTCCTCAGGAATATCACTACCTCAGGTTATGGCACACAGGCTATAATCGATGCTGACTTTCAGATGACTGCAGACATAATAAATGACATTCACACATAAAGACAATTTCCTATGTTCTTCTCTGTGATGAAACATATTGATGGACACCTGTACAAGCAACACGGATTTTCACCCACATGAAGATGGATTGTTCTCTTCCATATTTCTCCAGTTGATTTTTAAGACTTGGTAAGACATTTTACCCATAGAATTTGGATATGATGATAGAAAATCCACAATAAAGAATCTTAAAGCACTTAAGTAGTAACCCATTAAATTACTAATATTACAAGCTATGAAAGACACACAAAAAACATAAAGCATAACTTGAAAAAGAATTTTAAAAAATGATTAACTTGAAGAAAAGAGGATCCTAAGGGCAAAAACTCCATTTTATTTAGCTTAGAATTTTCCTACTGTTCCCTAACAAAATGTCCCAGTTTGAAATAAGGGTACAAGATCCATGACATTCCCTTATAACAAAGTGAAAAGACTGTATAAATCTTCAGGAGAATGACTAAAAGTCCTTATTCTGAAATGTACTATCTAAGTTAAAATTGGCAGGGGGAAGCTAAAGGCAAAGGAGATTTGGATCTTAATTCTATCATGGTATATTTTATATGCAAGTTAGAACATGCATTGTTGTTTTGTTTTGGAAAGAGAAGGGAAAATGTAAAATGTGTTCTGCAGAGAATCAATTTAAAAAATTTATCATGATCCTTTTGTAGTTCGTAAGTGTAATAATTGGGTTTTCAGGCTCTTGCATGAGATGTGCCTTCTTGAAACCCTGTTACGGCATGGGAAAAAAAAGAAATTTATCACGAATCTTTGGTGAATTACAGGCCAAGATTTTTTTAAAAAAAATCAAGACAAGGTATCAAAAATGAAGGTTATCAATGAACTGTTTTTCTTTGCCAAACATCACAGATTGTACGATATTTAACAAAACTGTTCCGTGTTTCCTCTGAAGTTCAAACAGCTATTTCTTGGGTTAGCCATTCACTGTAAAAGGGCAGGAAATTGTTTATCAACCTAGCTGGTTTATTACCAGTGACCTCAACTTCAGTATTTTAAATCACATTCTTGTATTTTTCTTTTATTATCCTGAGTCTGTAACTAAACAATTTTGTCTTCAAACTAATTTTTACCCAATTCCCATCGCCCCATACCAATTCAAGCTTTTTGGTTTTCAAAAATAAAAAGGGGGGATACTTATTATTTGTATGTATATATTCACAGTTTTTATTTATAAAAAAAATTTACAGTACTTGTGGAAAGCCAGCAGAAGACATCAGACATGCTCATTTCTTCCCAGCTTTGTTAAGTTTAGTGGATTACCCATGGACACTTTGCCAGGTGGGGCTCACTTGGCAGCCCCGAAAACAGACCTGGTCAGACTGTCTTTCCCCTAACCTTTTTGGACAAAACACTTCAATGAGCTATTGATCTGCTCAGTTTTCAAGTCATTCAAATACTGAAAATGTTATATCATCTGTATCTGCACCTTGGCTATATAACCATGTTTCCCCCCATAGTCTTTCTTTGTGAACACTGTAAAACAAGAGGTCACTTATTACTATTAATCAAAACTAAGTGAAAAATCTCCAATTTTTACAAAAGTCTGCCTATAATTCTTTCATCTAATTTTTATTCTCTGTATTTATGAGTTTAGCTATCCTACTAGATCTTAAAATGAATCAAATAAACACAAATTAAAAAAAGAAAAATGAAAATCTAAAAATCACAATTAAATCTTTCATAAGAAAGAAAATACAAACGTTAGCCTCTGCCACCTACTTTGGAGGGAGTGAGAGGCAGGGTAAGGGAAGGCATTGAGAAGAAGATAAACATAAAACAATATATACAGTTCAGTGCAGTGCTTAAGCTAGGTTTTCAAGGTTTTATAAGGAAAAATGTACTATATATAGAGGTTAAGATGTTGCAATTTTTCACAAAGGTTTCAAAACCTTTTGGAAATTTATGTTTCCATGGAAAATGGTGTTGGAATATTGTTTCTCTTAAGTTTCTCCTGAGAAGCTAATTTGACTCTCCACTCAGCTTTACTTCTAGGTAAAATCACTGTTGGTTACACTAAACTCCTAAGCCTAAGTGGTAGAGCACGACTGGAGCTTGATCCTGTGTTACCATTCCCAGGCTCCAGGGTGAGCCACAGATACTGTTTCATAAATATAGATTTATTATAACTGTAAGAGTAGCAATTCCATATACTGAATACTCTTTAGCTCCATTAAATAAGACATAGCAAGGGGAAAGACATATCTCACAAAATGGCTTTCAAGTTCAAGTGGAACTGTATTATAATTCTACTGTGGCACAGAGGCAACTTGTGGGCACTTCTTGTTAAAACAGCACAATGTTATCAACTTCTGACAAGACTCTTAGTATAGCCTTGAGCACCAATCTAAGATGAATGAGTCAAGAACCTCAACCACTTCTCTACAACTATAGTTGTTGAGTCTTTCCAGAATAACAAAGGTCCAAATGAGGCACAAGCCATCACTGCTTCTTTCTCACGTCCATCTAGCGGGTAAGAGGATTCTCTTTTTAAAACTACAATTTCTTCACTTTTAAAAGTGATTTAACAATTTCTATCATATTAAATTAGCAACATAAAACATTACTCTTTATAAAGTTCTACTCTGTTTCCCTAGAATTTATATACACTTTTTATTTCTAATCTGCATGAAAAAAATTCCTATTTGATATTTGGTAACAGAGCATTAAAAGATACTATACACATGTGGCGCATATATGTATGTATATATATATATACACACAAAATACACTTCAAAAAGAAACCAACCCACTTTAGCCAAAGTCTAAGCTTGCATAGATTAAAAAAAAGAATTACAAATACAATTTTTGTTAAAATAGAAAATGGGGAATAAAAGTTATAGAATTGATATGAAGAGAGATCTTTTCCAAACTTTTATTTGTGCACATTCAATTGAAAAAGATAACTTTTACAGGTTCTTTGGTGCCCATATTCAGCATACAAAAATGTAAAAGACTATTCACAAATAAAACACATTAGCTCAAACTGGAAAAAAATAACAATGACAACAATAAAACAATCTAAGGTAGTGCACACTGTGACAGCTCTGCTTATGGGGACATGAGAATTACTGCGAAAATAAATAGAATGTCCTTTTGTAAAAGCAGCAATGTCATGTCTTGTAAACTTCCTTTTTATATTACAGCAAGGTTTGGAATAAAATCCAAAGGGACTGGAGCTTACACTGTAGCCGTGAATGAATAAAAGAGTCTATTTCCTCAATTACCGTTGGTCCAGTTTTCCTTTTGTTTTGAGTCCAATGTGCAGCAGGTTTTAAAAGGTGCTCAGTTAGAGATTCTAACCAATTAAGTGATGAATTATAAAATTTCTTTCCTGCTTTCAAACACAAATGGGTATATCTGTTCCACAGCAGTAGCAACAGCCTTTACGTTGGGCCCTGTAACAAACACAATGGAGGAAGGCGTGAGAAGAGTTGAGAAGGGGAGTGCTAGGAAAAACTGATTACCCAGAATTACAAATATTCAGGTAGTTTAGAATATCAAGTTAATTGTTTAAAAAATTCTACGCTTACGTAATTGTACACATAGTCATAATAAGAACCAAAAGAATATAAAATTTTTCTAGACAAGGGAAATCTGGAAGACCAAAAATAATGTTATTCATTTTGTTTTAGGGCACCAGTCTGAAAAGAGAGTGTAAGAAACTGCACACAAACTCTTATGAGGAGAATAAAAAGCACTGTAATATAATATGTATGAAAGGAAGGAGTAAGAAATGGGACTAGTCGATCACTGTCGTTTTGGTCACTGTTGTCCGGCTTTCGGTTAGGCTACAACCAAGGCTTGCAGGGGTCTAGAGGAACCCAGAAGAGTGAAACAAAGCTGCTGCCCAAACACTGGGAAACCAGAGGGCTGTTTTAAACTACATGGTCTAAAAATCCCCACAGATCTATTACCTCTTAGTATCCACATGTTTATTTCTAATCTGGTCATTTCACCCTCAGAGCTTACCCAAGTCAATAGGGGGAGAAAAAGGTAAAAGACAGTAAGTAAGGTGGCTTTACATTTGAATTAATCCACTTAACTCCAGAACAACTTTTTTTTTTTTTTTTGAGACAGAGTCTCGCTTTGTTGCCCAGGCTAGAGTGAGTGCCGTGGCGTCAGCCTAGCTCACAGCAACCTCAAACTCCTGGGCTCGAGTGATCCTTCTGCCTCAGCCTCCCGGGTAGCTGGGACTACAGGCATGCGCCACCATGCCCGGCTAATTTTTTATATATATATCAGTTGGCCAATTAATTTCTTTCTATTTATAGTAGAGACGGGGTCTCGCTCTTGCTCAGGCTGGTTTTGAACTCCTGACCTTGAGCAATCCGCCCGCCTCGGCCTCCCAAGAGCTAGGATTACAGGCGTGAGCCACAGCGCCCGGCCCTCCAGAACAACTTTTTAAAAGTGTAATCTTTCATTTAAATAGCTAAGAAGAAACATAAGAAAGGGCAATGAAAAATATTTGCAAAAACTTTATTTTGAATATAAATGGTTTCATTAATACACACATCTTTTGAAAGATCCTGAAAACGTACATATCCACCCACTGTGAATGCTTTGAAGGAGCCCAGTCGGCTCCTTCCTGACTCACCTTACCCCTCTCCACAAAGGAGAGTGCTTACTCATGGGAACTACTCAGTATGTGCTCATTGAATTGTTAACATTTTCTAGGATATTCCAGATATAAATAATGTATTCTACTTGACCAGGTCAATTATTTTCAGTTTTTTATTGTGTTGTTTAATTATCTATTAATTCAATAAATACAGATTTTTGCATATGTACCATTTTATTCTACACTTATCAGGGACTAGTCAATAGACTCTGGGGCCTCTCAGATGTTCAAGCTCCAAGGTATGGAATTAGACAGTTGAAAGAAGGGAACAAATAGACTTGCTTTCCACTACCCCATTTTTAAGAGTTAGGTGGGCTCCTGGCAATAGGCTTTGAAAGTTTCCAAGGAAGATGGAAAAATCC